CCATTTCACCGATAGAAGTTTTCATCTTTCCTGATCAAACTAATTTTCTGAAAACTCAATTCCTCAACATGAAATATATAATAATAGTCTATTGTTTTTTAGTTTGGAGAAATGGTTTCAGATAACTTACTTGATAGGAAATTTGTAACCGATTAAATGATATTTCAGAAAAATGAGATACCAAAATTATGTCTTGTCAATAAAATGGATTATCAATATTATTGCTTCGGTAAAATAGCTTTTCAGCATATTTGTTTATATCCACGTGAGGTATTAAACGATTATTAAACGATTAACAGTTAAGCGAATAGTTTAACGGTTTTTACTCGTTTATAAAATTTCTTACTCGTTTAACCGTATAACATAAACTGTTAAAGGCGATTAAACGAATAACGGTTCCAACTATATTATAACTTACTTTAAAAGCAGTTGATGACATATCAATATCTCCGCTTTTACATACAGGGCACTTAAAAATAGTATTCAAAAGTTAGCAATGGATATTAATAAATAGAAAATAAAAATAAAAACTTACCTTATCCACAATTTTTACTTTAACAGTTCCCTTAGGTCCAGTGACTTGTATGCATTTCCCGCACACTGGCGAATCAGCAGGGTCAGAATATATACCGTACTGTGGTGCATTCTTTTATTAAATTAAATAAATAAATAAAGATAATGGGAGATAATGGCGAAAATGATCTTAATTAGTTGTTTAGAAACTTACCATAGCGGCAACTAGTTCACTGTCGTAATTTTGCATTCCGCATGAACCTATCCCTACGCCTGGATCTATAAATAGATGCATTGAAATTTTAATATATATGCTAGGATGCGGTTAAACCTCCATAAATGCATCCTCTACAAAGACATCCATATGTAAATTCACTCTAAACGCCAGTATAATCTTATTAATGCACTATATATTTGATCTAAATATTTTTTTTTACTATGATCCCAAGGAGTGTATTTAAGGAGGTTTAATTACTCTATAACAACGTGACTCACCATAATAAGTACCGTCCCCACTCCCACTCAAATTTAATCCTGGTTTTCCAGTATCTCCATTACTATTATTTTGAAATCCACCGACAGCGGCAACTATTATTATAATTAGTAAAGCTAATAGAAATAACCCTAATGAAATTAAGATGGCATATTTGTATGGAGCTACTTTTGGATGTCTTCTTTCTAGCCATTCGCTCCATTTGTAATATGGGGTTAAAAGAACTTTACAACATGGTGAGCAAGCAGTTCTAGTTTTTTGCCATATGGATGGTTTTGAAGATTTGGATGGAACTGGTGGGGGTAATGATTTATCTGAGGACGATTGGGAAGAGTTACCAATGCGAGTTATAGATGAAAACATTATATTATTTTAAAAGATATATATATTTTTTTTTCCTAGAGAAAGGCCGTTATAACAATAATGAATTTTTGAGGTCAATTCAATGACACAAAATTTAATTATGTTATTTTTGCAGATTTGTGGTACTTTTGTGTTAATTGAATTTCAGTCGTATTTATAATAAACTATACTATAGTGTATTGTTTTATCTCTAGAAAAAAAAAAAAGGTATATCGATATATAATAATAATAATGATAATTCGCTATTAGCCGATGAAGGCGTAAATCCCTATGACCAACTGCTTATGGAAAAAGAAGGTAATGATACGGTAATTGTGATGTGAGTATTAATGGGCTAAAATGGTAATGGCAAAGGATGCTAACAATTCTAAGACTGATTCGGCCAGCGATGAGGAAAAAAAACCTGATAAAGCCTTGATCATATTTATATACAATTTACATTTTGCAATTTGTTTTCTAAAACCGGTAGAGATGATTAAAGTTATTTCCGTTTCAAGCATCGGTCTGACTCGGGATAATCTTTAATTATAAAATTAATAAAATGCGGGAATCTTGACGTAATAATTTAATTGGTGAATTGAAAAGTACAAAAAAAGGTCTGTATGAATGCGTATCGGTATATAAAGACAAATTCGATAAAGAATTATTAGTCTTTTTGTGAAGATTGGTAGGATAAAAATAATTTGAATCATTAATTTCTGTAGTTCGTAATCAGGAATTATTAAGAATATTACTTGCATAAAACGTTGGGTGAACAAAAAAAAGAATAATATTAATATAACATTGTATCTACTCAATTTTTAATACGTAATTTTTTTTATTATCAAATTACATATTCTATTTCTAATTTTTTGAGAAGATACAACCTTAATAAGGCACTATTAGTAAAACAAAAGACTTTATTGCCTACATATAAGTGCACTTCCTCGTGACTTTCCCTCTTTATGTGTACATCATTTGATCAGCCTAGTGTGAATTATGTAGCATTATATGTAAACCGCTCTTCATAAGTATTTCCCAAACAACGTGCACTTACGGAAGGTCGATTGTATTATGAATAATACTGTCAGTCATTCGTATGATTGACTGATGTAAATCAATTGCCCAGGTAACTTATACACTTTTGAGAACGTAACGTTTCACTAATACCCAAAAGCAATTCATAGTTCTAAACGAACGTGATATTCATTATGCAAAAAACCTGAAAAGAATCTTTATCCTGACTGGCTTTACTTAGAAGATAAAATATACATCGTCTATTGGATCGTGAAAAATTACATTGTAGAGTGAAGGTTATTTTAAATGGTTTAATCTAAAACTACTTTATATAAAGTTAAATAAACTTCATTGCAACTATTTAATACAAACTCTAGTAGTGGAGGCTTTGGTCAAGCCTATTAACCTATTGTTATAGATTCAGCTCTATAATAAATAGTGGTAATCCTGGGCGTCCATTAGTCTGTTAATACCGGGAGTTCAGCACCTGGGGAAGCATGAGGTCGCTCTAGCTCTAGTCTTGCGAGTTTTTGATAATATTCTGATAACACAATCTTGTGATATTAAACTAAATATATCAGTTACACGATTTAAATTTTTTATTATTTCAGAAAAATTTTGCTTTCTTTTAGAACTTTTAACATGTATTAATATTGCTGGTATAATTTAGTATAATTGTATATACAGTAAAATAAAGTTTATAATAATTTTAACCGAAGATAATTTCACTTATGTGATATCGTTCATAATTTATTAACATA